AAAATTATACTGTATTTCACTGGTGCTGGACCTAAGACTCTCCTTTTAATTTTTACTCCTGCCTTTTATGACCTGTTATTGATTTAAAGGTGGGACCAAGAAAGAATCATTTTTGTTCTAAACTTTTGAAACTTTTATACATACTTTAAAAGTTCAGAAGTCTTATTGTCCCCCCTAATGTAGCTCACAGATAAGAAAAAATTACTATAAATTGTTCACACTTCCTATAAAACGATTGCTAATATTTATAATCTATTGCATTTGACCCTTCGCACAACTGGTATTTAGTCAGCTTGAAGAGCATTCTTTTTTTTTATGAACGGGTTTCAAATCCGTCTCTTGATAACTTGTTCATAAAAAAAAAAATTTATAATCTATTAATGAGGTAATAATAATTATTCCTCAATTTTCATTAATTTGGTACTGTTAAAGATTTAAATAGTTTATTAATAAATTTTTATTATAATATAATATAATATTAAATATATATACATATATTTTTACATGTGATTTTTAAATAAAAATTTAATCATAAAATAATGCATTATGGTGTATATAAAATATTGTAAGTAAAACATTATATGCCTTGCATTTTCTTTTCTTTTAATGCTTGTCAAATCTCATAAATATATATATACATACATTTTCTTTTCTTTTAGTGCTTTTTTTAATATTAATTATATAATAGAAAATAATTATTTTTTATTTATTATCTAATTTAATTTATATATCATATAATTTGAATTCAAAATTTTTTATTTTTAATAAAAAAATATTAGCAAATTATTTAAATTATTATTCACCATGTAAATAATTTTAATTAACTAATTAAAGAAATTAAAACTAATATTTATAGATTTTTTTTATCTTATTTTTTTCTAAAAAACATTTTGACAAGAGATGGGTTCGAAACCCGTCCTTGAAAAAGAGAAATGCACTGATCGACTAGTTAATACCAGTGGGCCTCTACGGTCAGGTGCTTTTTTTTTAAATTAATTATAAAAAAATACAATAATTAAACTCTTAAACTTGGACCATTCAAAAAATAAAAAGAAAAAAGTAACAGTAAAACAAAGTGAACCTAATGACCCAAAGAAGACCATGTTAAAAAAATAAATGACCCAAAGAAGACGGCTTAACCTCCAATTGCAAAAGTCATATTTATTTGCTGTCAGTTTTAAAATTTTAATGGCACGTTGCCTAATCCAGGAGGAATAATGATTCAGTGCTTTACAACTTGGGTGTGCACCCACTATCGTCACGTCACATCAATCCCTCTTGCATAAAATCACAAGTGCGCGATGCACCGGATCATTTCCCTCTCGAGGAGTCGTACATTGAGAAAAGCGTGGCATCTCTTGTTCTGTTATTGTCATTGGGGACACGCGGCTTGCAGCCGGCCCCACCATTTTGGTTTAATGGATGAACCTTTTTGTTTTCTTTGTTTTTTTTTTTTTTTTTTTTTTTTTTTTT